TTTTGACTGTTTTCAATAGTAAACATTAAAGTGAAATTAACTTTCTATACTTTATATATTATCACAAATTAATGAAAAAAAAGAGAAATGTTGCTGCTGTCACACACTCGCCAGGAATCNTACTTCTGGTTGTAACTGCCATGAAATATTTTCATTCCTTCTCGCAATATTATTACTTTTATTTAACAATTTGCTGTCTAATTAACACTTCTATTATTAATTAGTTATCAATTCACCACTATATGAACACTACATTACTTCTTTGCTCTATTTTTCGCTTTGTATCTCCTCGAACTCGTTCTAGTACTAACTATTAATAATCCTTCGATCTCGTGAGAACTATTTATAGAGGCTGACTAATTTCTAGAAAGATCCACTATATGCAGTCTAGAAACCGGGTCTTCTTTGTCACAATGTTTGTTGGGTGGCCTATTATACACATGTGACAATATTATAAAAGATTTAAGTAGAATTACTTCCTTAGCCCTTTGTAATATTTATATATAGGCCGTAGTTATTTTTTTTGACATTTAATTTTGAAAAAAAATATATTATAAAGCATACTAAGGGGGCATTTTTGAACAAAAGTTCGAGATAGTGTCTCTTAATTTAGGTGACTTTTATTTTTGAAATCTTTTAATTTCGACTATTTTGATATATTAAACATTGACAATATTTAATATTAGTTGTTAAACATCGCTTTGGTATATCTAGCGTATACAAAATTTCTTATGTACAAATGAAAAAATTTTTTATTCAAAATTCAATTAATTAACTTGTTTAAAAAATTAACGCGAGCAGAAGCGTGATAACATAAGAAATAGTTTCTCTTGCTTTTCAGAGTTGAAATACCCCTATTAGGCGGTTATCTCATAAGAGCATGCAGTAGTCTTCCTACTATATTTTGAGAACTGTAGTCTCACAAAAACAATTTATATTTATTGTAGATAACTGAGTACTCTGTCTTTTGCAATTCTGGCTTACAGACTTTTTTCATAAAATTGAAAATAAAAACAAAATTTTTACAACAAAATAGATATTAGTTAACGGTTCCATAATGACTCGTCAGACGGTTTGTTGTATTCAGCCGCATATTTGCATAAAAATATAGTAACCTACATTACATTTAGCAATATATCCACTTCAATATTTTTAAGATTAAGGATTCTTATTTCTTCTTGACACCGAACCGTTTATTATTAACAGATTTTTTTATAAAACATTAAAAACGTATCACCAGCTAAAATAGTGTAAATAAACAAAAACCTAATTTATTGCCATTTTACAGATTATAATAATTAATTGTTTTGCGCTTTTGTGTTTCACGAAATTCTAAATAGTGTGCTGTCAAATTATAGAAATTTTATGGAAGAATAAAGCTTGGAAAGGCAATTTGGAAAAGTTTCAAGTCAGTCCTAAAGTGTTTATTAGAACTATTCATAAAATTGTTATTGATCATTTGACAACATTAGTGAAGAGAATTATTTATTAAAAAATACCCCAAATGGCGCTGTAAACGTCATCTGTGGTACAATGCTACATTTAGTGGAATTCATTATGCTCAGCAAGGTCCATTTAAATAGATGGATTTCTACTTGCTGAACTGAATCCACGGCGTAGCTCACCACTATGTGATAGACACGTTACCAAAATCGAACAAATTTGGAGTGGTCAGTATCCTATCGAAACTGCCAGACGCAGATCGCGATTTCGATCTTTTTGGATCTCATCAGTGCGTCGCAGACAGTTTCGACAGAACACAGACCAATTTTTACCTGCTGTCTTAACAGCGCGTTTTATAAAATACTGGAGAGAAATGCGAGAATGCCACACCGTATTCAATCAATGGAAATTTGTCTTTATAGGAAACATTATATTTTTTGTTTCTTTTGTGTACTCATATACTGAGGTGTAATTTAAATAGTACTGCATACTATCAACAATGAACAAATGTTCATCTAAATATTATGTGTAGTAGCAGTTTTGTTGATGTTTAGTTTTTAGCCGATTAACAAGCGGTATTGCTTACGTTCTCCATAATTGCAGGTTCTGAGTTCTTATCTCAACTCGGTGCATAGGTACATACCTATGCTGTCAATTCTCGTCCAGAAATAGTTTCGAATTATAACTTGCTATTTTTTTTTTTTGTCTCTTAATCACGCTACTGTACCATCATGCGATTCCTTATTGTAAAGTTTGTTATTTATTTTAGAAATACCCTGTATATCAGAGCCGGGCAAACTCGGCTCTTTTGACTCCCGAGTGCTCCTCAAGGTTAACCAAGTAGCTCCTCATTGATCCTGCGAGGGCAAACTCGGCTCTTTTGACTCCCGAGTGCTCCTCAAGGTTAACCAAGTAGCTCCTCATTGATCCTGCGAGTGCGAGTGAGATGATTCTTTCCTTTTCTTATCCCTTCCATTTCGTAGGTGTCCCCTCTTCCATAGCCAAACCCAATAGTTTTGCGAACGTGGTAACGAAAATTTTCGTATGTATTTTTTAATTTGCTAGAGTGGCTTCGCTCGTCTACGGGATGAAGGGGCTTGATATGGGAGTGGAAGGGAGAAGAAAAAGAGAAAACAANACAAACACACAAACAAACCTACGCTAGAATATTATTAAATGTGACAACGATTTTGATATATACAAAAAATTAATTTATATTATTTGTGACCAAAAATACTTTATCTCCTTACCCTCGAAATTTGCGATAATTTAAAATATATCAGATACAGCAGGTTTTGTAAAAATATGTCATCATCATCATAAGGTCGTCAGTTGGTTGGACCACTCTTTCCTATCCTGAGCTAAACTAGAACAATCCACATCCTTAAATATTTACGAACAGTAATCTAATCTAGGTCTACCTCTACCCCGCCTAACTCCTGTTTCTGTCTCTAATATGTCTCTGACTAGACCTTCATGCCTGAGAAGGTGTCCTACCAACCTATCTCGCCTATTTATTATTGGCTTCATAAGTAGCGGTGCAGTGTGCATGCCTCTGTCTAGCTCTCTTCCTAATATTTACTTCTCTATATATCTATAACTGTCTGTTACTCTTTATACAAACTGAGTATCACTCTTCTATCTTTGTAACTCATCCCTACATTTTTAAGTATATTTAACGTCTTGTCCCATTTAACTTTGTCAAGAGCTTTTTCTAGATCTACAAATCCTATATACACACTCCTTCCGTTTTCTATCGTTTTCTCTATTGTTACCCGTAAAGATATAATGGCCTCTCGCGTTCCTTTATTTCTTCTAAATACAAACTGATCTTCCCCTAATAGTTTTTCTGCCCTTTTTTTTCATCCTTCTCTGTACAATTCTAGTTAAGGTATTTGACGCATAGAATGTTAAGCTAATTGTTCTAAATGTCTCGCACCTATCCGCGCCCCTCTTTTTAGGTATTGTTACTACCACATTTCATTTATAATCCTCTGGGACTTTACTCGTCTGGTGAATGTGACTAACTAGCTTAAACATACGATCTCTAACCTCTTGTCCTGCATGTTTTAGAATTTCTCCTTGTATCCCATCCACCCCTGGCGCTTTATTATTCTTTAAGTTTTTTAATGCTACATCGAAATATTCTCTCATTATGGGATAACGTAGCTCATCTATCTCCACACTATCATCCTTCTGAAATATATCTCCTACTTCATGGCTTACCTATAGGTTCTCTAAATATTCTTTTCACCTATCTGACTTTTCCTGATTTTCTATCAAAATGAACCCTGCCTCGTTTCTTATATTATTACTACTGTATCCTACATCTCTAAAATTTTCCTTTTAATTATACTTTAGGCCTCATCTGTTTTACATACTTCAAACTTTTCTTCTACTTCTTTACACATCCTACCAATCCACTATTTCTTAGCTGCACTACACTTCCTAATTATTTCCCACTTTATAACCTCATACCTTTTTTGCCCTTCTTCGTTTGTCCTGTTTTTGTATTTCCGCCTTTTTTCTATTAATCCTACAATCTCATTTGTTATCCAGGACTTCCTACTTTCGTTTTGTTTAAGACCTAGTATATGTGTAGCTGCTGACTTTAGGCACGTTTTAATGCAGTTCCATTCTGTCTCTATGTCCCTGTCATTCGTTTCTCCTGCCGCCTTTAGTATTTCGTCTTTCCTTGTACCTAGCCTATCCCGCGTTTCGTTACATTTTAATTTTAGCTTTTCTAAGTCAAGACGTCTCCTACCTTCCCTCTTTTTCAGAATTTTGAATTTAAGATTTGTCTTCATAACTACTAAGTTATGATCGCTACTTATATCTGCTCCTGGATAACTCCTTCAGTCCAAACAAGTATGTAATCTTCTGATATCTCCCTAAATCACCTGGCATTTTCCATGTATAGCGCCTCCTAAAGTGATGGTTAAATAATGTATTCGCGACGGTTAAGTTATGTTTATCGCAGAATTCTATCAGCCTATCTCCCCTATTATTTCTATTGCCCAATCCGAAAGAACCTGCTATTGCACCGACTTTACTTTCACCTATTACTGCGTTGAAGTCTCCTACAATTATTAGGTATTCCTGTCCTTTCACTAAACTTAACAATCTATATCTGCATAAACCTCTTCTACATCTTCATCACTGAAAGATGATGTAGGCATGTAGACCTGCACTAATGCCGTTTTTAGCGGCTTCGAGTTTAATTTAACCATAACTAACCTATCACATTTTTATAAATAACTTTCTACGCCCCCCTACTTTCCTACGCATAATTCCTAAAAATATGACTTGAAAATAAAATTCCGAAAAGAAAAATAATAAAAATTATTTTCCTAATGCAGCGGATTAATGGAACTGTAAATTTTTGAAACCGTTACCCTTATTAAAGTGCAGAAAATCGTAGATCGTGAATCGCTAATATTTGTTTGCACTTTTACGTGCACTTCTAATTCTCATATGAGAGTAGGTTCTATACACGTTATTAGGCCATTTTTATATTAAATATAGTAATATACTAAAAAATAAAATAGACTACTCACCTCCACATTTAAGAGTCTACTCCTTGTTTCAGGAGGTGTAGTTTCGGGCTTGCTATCTAGAGAAGGCGCGTTTTCGTTATCTGTATGATACACGTCAATAGGTGGCGTTGTACAGCTAGTTTCAAGCCTATTGCCGAATTCGAATTCAGATGCTGTTCTTTCCAACAGTTCTTCTGTGTCCGAAATGTGATCGTCGTTACAGTCCACTGAAAGCAATACAAAATTAATTCTATTTTAAATGACTTAGCGATTTGTGACCAACCTAGTACATATAAACTGATTGAATAACGAATATCATTCTTTGGAACTAGTTTGATTAGTTGAAAATTCTTTTATCCATTCTATACGGGGTACAATTGAAATGCAGAGCTTGCGGGAGATGNCCTTTTTCTCTTAAATAACTCCTTAAAGAATTATTTACATATTCTCCCCCTCGGTCAGATCTAATAAATTTTGGTTTTTTATTAAACTGATTTTCCATTAATTGAATAAATTCCCTAATAAATTTGCCTGTCTCATTTTTGTGACTCATTAAATAGACCTTAGTGAACCTTGAAAAATCATCAGTTAATGTTAGTATGTACCTTTTATTTCCTGGAGTCGCAGTTTTCATGGGCCCGCACACATCAGTTTTTATTTTATATAATTCTGGTGATAACTTCGCGACAGCCACTATTTTTCCGTCTCTGAAAATGTCACATTCACCGTCGTTAAATTTGATTTTATAACCCGCACTTGTTAGTTTTTTGACCAATATTAAATTGCATTCCAATTGTGGAACAAACAGAACATTGTCCAACCTTAAACTTATTATTTCCGTTCCACTTGAGCACCTAATTTCAACTGACTCCATTCCCGCGACTTTGGTAAACTGTCCTTTTTCTGCTAAGCGTACGAATCCTCTTCTACTCTCGTTGAAGTCGGTGAAAAAATTCTTACAATTTGCCATATGACTCGTTGCGCCAGAATCTATGATCCACGAAGTAGAATGTCCTCTGATTTCCTTAGATCTTAGGCATATTTCATCAGCTGTAAAACATGTATCACTTTCAGTATTTTTTCTTTCTTCAGCTGATCGACTTTCCAAAGCGGTAATCAAAAAACTATATGAATCCGGTAAGCTTCCTAATAACAACCCAGCAGCAAAGCGATCCTTGATTTCTTCCCCCAATGCGGAAAGTTGATTTAGTAAATTCAAAAATGCCGCCGCCATCCTCCAACGATAGCTTGCAAACTGTTTAGTAAAAATACCATGCTCGACAAAGTTGACATTCTCTGAATTCTCTGAGAGATTCCCATGCGTCATGTGCAAACTCCTTGTTTCTTATATGCACAAGTTGATTGGTTTCAACAAGTAAAGCAATCGTTGATAACGCCTTATCGTTCTTTTTCGTCCAATTATTGTCTCGTTCTGAAGGCACTTGGTCTGATACGATGTCCCATAATTCTGCATTGATTAGTAACATTTTCACCAGGTAGCTCCATGATTGATAATTTTGCCCATTTAATTTTTCAACGCTAAATTTGCCGCTTTCTGCCATCTTTAACTTCACAAATAATACGCACGTACTTCAGCCCCGCAATTTCGTTTAATTGTCACCTGGGCCCATAACCTGTCGCAAAGCGTTGCGACCGGGTGGCAATAAAATGACAAATATTAAGAATTAACACTTTATTTACAACACTGTATCAAAATAGTAAAATCTCAACATATATTATCACAGCCGTCTCTACTTACAAGCCATGCTGAAGGTTTACTTGGCAACACTGTGGGAGTCCCAGGATTTCCCAGTTAATGAGAGTTACAACTAATACATTAGTTGTTGTGTTTTTTCGTTGTTCTATAATATTTTAATTTTAGCGGAAATATCGTGCAGTAAATGTGCAATAAGGATGATTATAGTGTGTTATAGTGATTAATACCTTTGGATGCAGTTTTTAATTGCAGAACTATTATGTGAAAGAAGTGAAAATGTTTTAGGTCAGATTGTGTGTTTTAGTTGTAAATTTTCTTGTTTATTTCTTAACAAAATGCCTCTCGTCGTTGTGTTCCCAGTTGCAATTCAAATTATAAATCATCTTTAAAATGTAAGTACAAGTATGTCTATATTTTTATTCCCAAAAAAATGATGAAATGCGAAAAAAATGCATAAGTACTATACCTCGCAAAGATTGGACTCCATGAAAATATTCTGGAGTTTACATACAT